TCGTTGCCTTGCTCAAGGGTCTCACCTCATTCGTGGTATTGATGGTGGAAGAGAGCGCTCTACATTCACTCCCCCACCCCCCACCTACAATCTCGAGACTCGAACCCGCGACCTTTGGGTTACAAGTGCGACTCTCTAACCATTAATCCACAACTGCCCAGAAGATTTAGACACTGCCAATTTGGCTGAAGTGATTCACACTGATCATGGAAAACATGGCAAGCACAGAGCAGAAATCCACAGTGTGTTCACTCATATCAGTGTAACACAATTGTAACATTTAAGTTTGCTAAAGGTGTGACTCCCTCTGAAAGCTTACCGTTTCATAATCTTGTCAACTAAACTTAAAAAAACTCAATTTATGCCTTTGAATAATCACATCTAATGTAATGCCACCAGCTTTGAGTTAGAAATGTGCATGAAAGAGGCATCTTTGTGAAGGCGGCATTCTCGATGGACAGACTGTGAGCAGAAATAATGAACCCACTCTCCTTTGGGGTTTAATTGTGTCTTTAACCTCCCCGGCATCACCTCACACATATCATAGAGATTTTCCATAGTGAACGGTGTGTAAATTAAATGACATGAAAGAAAACACTTTTGTGTTTGACAATAAATTTGTCTTAACAAATACTCATCTTTTTACAGTTATTATTTCCAAATGTTAAGTATGTAACTGAATATTTGCCATTTATAGACACACATAAAGTTGTTATTCTGTTCCAAAAATAAAAAAACCTTCCACCAATCAGTGGAGGGTTTACATGAGGTAAAGCTAAAAATAATAATAAAACAATATTTTCTTCCCAGAGTGTATGAAAACTAGAACAAGACAAACTGGAACATACTAACTTTTCTTCACATGATGGTTACCACAGTTTGAGAAATATGCTAAATGGAGAGTGACTCTTACCTTTTGCTCTTCTCTCTCCTGGGCCTGATGGCACTTCTCTAAGCCAACAGCTCTTAAGAAATCCCTGAAATAGCCAAATAGGATGACGATTCCATAACCCATGTATGTCAGGACAGCCACGTACATGGGGGCCTCCTCAAATGAATCCTCACCCCTAACTCGAGGTTGATGAAAACCGTCTCCCTTGCCATTTTTCTGCACCTAAAATATAATTGACAAAACATTATAATCCAAAAGTTATATTCAAATATTATTTTAATTCCACTGCAATTTAATAGACAAATGACATTCAAACATATAGGTTACTACATAAAATAAAGACCTCAATTTACATCATTTAATAATAAGTGTAATTTCTAAGTTTGCTTAAGTAATATCCTTCATAACCAATATGACACTTGTAATGACAAATACCATAGTATATAAAAATACAATTTTATTGAAACCATAGTTAAATTAAGAGAGAAGCCAATCCACCAGTGTTTTGACTGTGGTTACAAATACAAATTTTACAGTTAAACTATATGGTTAATAATGCAACTATTTTCATAAGAGTAAACATCTATTTCATTACCAAACTCGCGCATGGAGTTTAAACATATTTAAGTGATGACTAACGAACTGGTGACTCGTTCTTTCGAAGGGATTCATTAAAAGAACTATCTGAACGAACCGATTCGCTGAAATGAATCGGACCTAAACTCGAGTCAGCCTTAAGAATCACCCCTTGTATTGTAACTTTCATTTTTGAAATAACACGTTTAAATTGACGCATTGAGCAGAAGTGACGGACTTGGACTTACCTTTTCAGTTGCGTGATATCCATTTTTCAAACTGTTGCTTCCCTGTTGTTTCTGGTCAGAATGAGACTTCAGGGTTCCGTTGCGTAAATGATGTTCATCTGCTCGTATCATGTTTGCAAAGCGTCAGCACTGAGGAATGAATTATTTAACTGCTCTTCTCTGTCCCTCAGTTTACAGAAGTGTGTATGTCCGTTGAAGTGTATTTCCGTAATGTGAGTTCACCATCCCACTACATGCTCAACTGACTTTGATTTTTGTACACACAACTTTGGACCAGGAAGTATTCACGGACATCAGAGGAACGACGCGACGCGACTGGGCGCTGCCTTTTACAGCTTCGTTGGTGACAATGGAGCAGTTCCAGGCGCAGTGAAGACACGGTGGTAGTTTTAAACTGGGCGACAGTCGTTCTGAATCTGCGTCTGAATGTGTTTTATAATAAATGAAAAGCAAAACTAAAACCGAGTTGTCAGTGGTAAAAGAGAAACACTGCAGAAAAATGCCTGTGGTGCAATACAGGTATAAATGAACTTTTCCACGACATTCTAATTTATTGAGATGCACCTGTATGTCAATTTTACGGCCTATTATAAAACAGAATGAAAAATTACTTATTTTACTTAGTTTATTTAGTTTACATTAACCATAATTTAACTGTGTTAATTTGTTTTAAGAACAAGTAACAAAGGATGAATTATGGATCGGGCCCCAGTCTGTGGCTACGTTCACACTGTCAATTTTTGGCGGTTGTCACACCCGTAAATAACCAAACTGTGTGTGAACGTAACAGTATTAAGGACTCAAATACAGGACTGACAACCGTATTCTGCTGCTGTGTGAACGTGGCCAGTGTCTGTCAGGGTCTTCAATCTGTGAGGCCCCTCAGAAAGACAAATGGAAATGTTATTTATTTGTTATTTTATGTTAATTTTATTTACAGTGTTATTTTAGTATTTTTAGTATTATTTATAATACTATTATAATAATGTAAACCAAACTCTAAAACTTTAAGTTTTAGTAATTTTGTGATGTGCTTAACATTTTTTTTATTTATGTCACTTTAATTTAAATTGATTTCAGTTTTAGTTTTAGTAATTTTACTTAAACTTATATTCAGTTAAATTCCAAGGCAACATTTCCGATTTTAAGTTAATCTAATATTTATATATTTTAATTTACATTTAATTAGCATTATTTTCATTAGCATTAGCTTTCATTATTTAGTTTTAGTAATTTTACTTAAACTTATATTCAGTTAAATTCCAAGGCAACATTTCCGATTTTAAGTTAATCTAATATTTATATATTTTTATTTACATTTAATTAGCATTATTTTCATTAGCATTAGCTTTCATTATTAATAATAACAGCACTGAGAAGCTCTGCCTGTCTCTCTCTCTCTATTTTTTTCTCTCTCAATAAGATATATTAAGTTTATGAAAGGATTTATTTATTTCAGCTAATACTTTTGTATTCCATAACATTCTTATGTATGATTCTCACATTGCAATTCATGATATATTACAAAAGTGACACGGAAATGCTTTTCTTCCTGCTATCCAAGATGAGCTATCTTTAAATATTTTTGCTGCCTTCTGCATATCTACCACTCCAACTGCATTCAGCTGAATGTGGGAATTTTTGCCACAGGACAAGAAGTCATTGTGATTACACAAATGGATAAAGTCTGAATCCAGACTTTCCTTCCCTTAACTTTTCAATGGATTTGTGCTCTTGGATGGTCAACAAAAAAAGAGCGAGAGAGAAACAAGAAAAGAAAGACAAATTCTTTCAAAATATCGACTCAGTGACCACGACTTAGAAATAGAGAATGGAAGATATAAAAAAATCCTAGATACCGAGAGAACAGCGACAATGCAAACACTGTGACCTGAATCAAATAGAGGATGAGAAACACTTTCTTCTTGTCTGTCCCAAGTACACCACTACAAGGGACATATTTTTTTCCACAATTTGCAGCACTGAATTTTTCATTCTTTACTCTAAATGACGAAAAAGAGAAACTCCGCTATATATTTGGAGAGGATGACATGGCAGCCAAACTAGCTGCAAAATATGTGTACACCATACGAAATGGTTAATCCATTGTATTTTCATTTGGTTTATTTTACATAATCTTCATTGTACATAATTGTTATAATTAATATTAGAGATACTGTCTGCATTTTTCTCTTATTTATTACTAATTTATTGTCTCCTTTATTACATTGGTGCTGTAATTATTATGTATTTTACATACAGTATACTTAAAATGCTTTGGCAATACTGTGCCAATAAAGCAACTTGAACTTGAACTTAAGATATTTTTTTTAATTTACAAAAGCGCTTATTTACAAAAAAAAATCACCTATTTAGAATTACACAGCATTTGAGAGAGAGAGAGAGAGAGAAACAAACACCTGAGTGAGTGAATGGGAGGAACAGATCTATCTAGATGGAAATGAAGAGAGAATGAGAGTGGCAACGTGTGGCACTGGTAGTAGCTGGCAGCAGCCTGCAGCTGTCTGAACCAGTTTTGGACCAACTGTCGAACTGTCACTGCTAATTAACCACAGCCCCACTCTGTCTTGCTCGCCCTCTCTATCTCTCTTCACTAAACCCTAAACCGTCCCCTCTGTCCACCTCTATCCCTCATTTCTTCACATCCAATGAGCTTCCCAATCCTCTGCCAGAGACTTCGTGCTAAGGGAGCTGTGCTAGCCTAGATCTGTCAAGCATCATTAGCTTTATTAATATTAGCACTCATTATTTATCTCATATTTGTATGGCAGGTGTTTCTTTGCACCCTTCCTATGGACCTCTGATGACTTATCCGTTATTATCAGGTTTACAGTTATTGATGCACGAGATGCCTTGTTGTTTTATTACATTTGATATAATCTCACTGGGTATTTAACATCTTTTTAAAGGTGGTATTTATATGCTTATGTTAAAACGCTTATTATTTTAGCGTTATATGCAGAAGGTAGGTGAACGCCCCTTTACCAAGCTAATGGTTCGATTGCCTGGTCCGAACCGGAGTTTGATTGCTCCCCTGCCCCCGCTGGCCTGCGTTCATGTTATTTTATTTAGGTCCGAACAGCGGGTCGTTTGCGTCATCAAGCCAGCAGCTGTTTATCCCGTTGCTTAGTAACGAAGGCGCAGGAGAAGGCTTAGCATTGCTATTTTCACTTTTATATTAATGTTTTTTTAACCGTTGGTTTTGTTTCCAAAGCTTCAGTACATAACGGCACTTACGTCTGTCTTAAGGTACCGTTACTGCAAATGCTCTAAAGAACGCTGAAGACGTACAGAAATGATACATACAGCTCGCTGCTTGCAGCGCGCTCACGCTCGACAGGAAAACGAGTGACACACACACATACACATTTCTATCAAACAATACGCCATTAATAGCGGTTCACTTCCGCGATTTGGTACGATTGCGTACAGGAGTTCACTTGTACAGTACGCCCCTTAAGCGGACTCGGGTACGGTTCGCGGGTGCGCACCCGAGTTCGGAAGACAGCGTTCACATCATCCAAACGTACCGAACTCAGACGTCAATCGAACCCGTAATCGAACTAGTGTGAAAGCACCCTAACAAACTGTTCTTTGCGTGTCCTACCACAGTAAAATGATACTAATAAGTCAGTGTTTTGACATGAGAAATTACCTTATACCCAACCTGAAACGTTTTTCTCAACGATATTTTAATGAAGTCATGTCCCAATCAGGTCCCTATTTTCCGTCAATGTTTACAAACAGAAACCACGAACGCCCGATTAGAGAATGAATCACTCTTTTGAGTCGGTTCTTTTTCGTAAAGTTTGAATCGGTTCGCGATTCACTGTGAGTTTTTCTGAAATCACTGTCGAAAAAAATGGGCCAAAAAAAAAAACCTTATCGGACGAGGCAAATAACCGTATACAATCCGTGTATCATTCGATCATTCGTTTTTTGATTTAATATTGAAAGTAGAAAAATGAGAAAACGGCTCCTTTTTCGTTTTTTGTTTTTTTTCGAAAAGACGAAAAACGAGAATTCAGCTTAAATTTACGTTTTTCGTTCATGGATGGAAAAATGAATAAACAGCTTGAATATTCGATTTCTACATGTGGGCGGGAATTAAACGCCCCTTTCTGCTGATTGGTCAGCCGAAGATCAAACCGTGCCTTCATCACTTAAGTACTGTAGTACTGGACTTGTTTGGGAAAAACTGCTTTACGACAGTTTACACACGAGCAAAAAGATCTGCGAGTACATCTGCACGTGCAACTTGTGACGACTGTATTGCAGGTAACAGCAATTTTCAGCTAACATTAGTTCAAAACACTGACAGTAAGTGTATGTAATCGTAACTTGTTTTTAGAAAACATTACAGGTGTGCATCTTGACACAGAACAATGACACTAAATGCATTGCTGTTCTGTTGTAAGTAATCTTAAAGATTCCTAAATGCATCTACTTTCGGAAGGCCAAATAAAGTGCTTTTGCTTTTGCCTAGAAACACACAGCGTCTCCCTGACATGCTGCTTCAACACTAACTGCGGTTACTGAAACCACGCCTTCTTTCTTTGCGTGAACATTTGGGCGGCATTATGCAAATATTTCCACATAGTGAGGTAGATATGTGGGGGCGTGTTAGAACGAGCCGTTTTAGGGGGGCGTGGCAGAGTCTTAACTTTGATAAAGAATATCTCTTTGGTTTTGAGACTTTAGTCTTTGCAACTTCAGGGATCTTATCTATGCACAATCAGCTTGTAACACTCCAAAGAGAAAGGAAAACTTGAAATCGCATCATATGACCCCTTTAAGATATGTCAGAGCAAGATATTTTCAGTTGAGACATACCTTGGATTACCGCGGTAAATGAGAGTAATAATCATGCAATACCATTGTATATTTAAAAAAATAACATAATATATAATGATAATCGAATCAAAGTGCCATGGTATTTCTTGTCACAAATTTGCTTATTATGATTTAAGACTTTAAAATAGTGCAGCATCTAAAATATTTCTTAATTTTATGTCATAATATTTCACATTTTTACCCCCAAATCCTAGAAAGTGCTTCTTATTTCCACAATGCTTTAGATTTACAACATGGTCACATACTTTTGGACCGCACCGCACTATATGTAACTCACAATACAAATTTCTGTATTTCTCCAGAATGCATTTGGATAGAATCTTTGTGATGTTTAACAAGAATACCCGCTGAGCCACATGTCTGCCTGTTAACCAAACCCTCCTTGGCAGTATTTCTTAAGTAAGGTGGCATGTTGAGTAAAGATAAAAGAAGAAGATTATCATTTTACACTTCAGGAAACCTTGCTGTTTAGAACTCTCCTGACCTCATTTAACAAGACTTCAAGTCTGGGTGTGTTTGTGTTTGAGGTAGATTCT